CTCACTCCACTGACGCCTGCAGAAAGGAAAAACATGGGAGGAGGGAGGTTTGGACACCATCTCGCTATGTAGCCCAGGCTGGCCTTGAACTCACAGTGATCCTCCTGCCTCAGCCTCCTAAGTGCTGGAATTAAGGGGGTGCACCACCACCCCTGTGTGTTTTTTAGTTTTTAACAACTGCTTTGGCTCACTACAAAAATTAATATACATTCACTACAGACAATCTAGAAAACACGGAGAAAGTTTTAAAGGATTATTGAAGCTGCTGCTAAGCCCACTGCCAAAATACCTGCTATGTGCACTCTGTTTCCTTCCAGTCTTGTTTCTAGGGACAGAGATATGTGCTATCCATGTGCTCCTGGGTCTCGTGGTTTAACACACCGGAACTCTGCTGGGGCCTACATTTCCACCCTGCCCCTGGGAGCTGAATTAAATATGAACCCGCTGGCCAGGGAGGAAGCCGTGCTCGGCCACCCAGAGCCCGGACCTCAGCAGAGCCTTGTTTCTTCTTCGTGTCACGCCCGGTGACGCGGACAAAGTCATACATGATGGGAATTTACTGCGGGCGTCACATGCTCGCCGTGGTGCTCAGATACCCGTGAAGGCCTCGGAACACGTCCCCAGCAAATGGCAAGAGCCGACTGCGCTCTTGGTCAGCTTTTTCTCCTTGAAATTCAGTCCTATTCTTTCTGCATGCGGCACAGTAATATCGAGGCACATAGGTGCTCCATAAATCTGCGCCCCTCGCAATGAAGAGCTGGGTCCAGGCTCCAAAGTGAATAAACACAGCGGGTGTGCAGTCTAAGTACTGAGACAATTCTGGTGTTTATTTTGTTCTTTCATATCCCATACTATAATAGGACCTAGTACACAGTAAATGTGGAATGAAAGATGAATATTATGAACTGTGACCTTCAAATAATTTTTACGGACCCAAAGGAAAGTGCCACCAATATAATGGAAAATTTCAAAATTACACTATGTGACACTGATAGGAAAAATTTAATTTCTAAAGAGCTACTTACAGTCCTAAGGTTCTGTGCTCCAGGCAGCTTAGCTCAGCAGCGACACCTTGTGGTGAGAGCCTTGACTTCCAGAAGCAGAGAGTTTTACAGGAAGCAAGAAACAAAGTGGCCTCAGACACCTAAGCCATAAAGCGGGTGTTGAGTCCAACAGACGGGTAAGCCAAGACCCTCTTAATGTAACTGAATTTCATGGAGATCACTGGGCTCTATCAAATGTGTTTTCAGGAAGGAAAATCAAATAAAGGGTACGACCCAATTCGACTCCCTACACCTATAAATGTGGAGCCAACAGCCGTCACTAGGAGGTGTCTGGAAATGTCTCAGCTCAGCACCAGGACAGGCCCACGAGGAGCAGTGCGCTGCCTCCGATGGGACCGCCTCAGTATTCGTACACTCATCCTTCTGTTCCAGGAAAACACGATATAAAACTCCTGGCATTTCCTTTGCAGCAACTCAAGGTCTTCCAAGAGTTCGTAGCACTGAGAAATGGATGTAGGCTGGGTGTGTGGCGCGGTGGTACAGAGCCTGCCTGCCATGCATAAGCCCCTGTGTCCAACCCCCAGGGCTGCAAAAGGAAAAAGAAAATGGAAATGCCCGCGTTCAGCAAGCGCACACACAGTTGCTCAGGTCCTCCAGCTCCCAAAGAAAACAGCCGGCGATCAACACAGCGCCACGGCGAAAAGGGAGCTGGCGTGAAAGCGACTTTTCCAAGGTGGCTGTGCAAGGCTGGGCGAGGGAAGCGTCTGCTTTCACCCTGCTGAAAGGCGGTCACTCGCCCCCCGACACATGCCATGGCTGCCCCAGCAGCTCCCAGAACCGGAAACTCAGGAGCTGCAGGCCTCTGTCACGTGACTTCATGGAAAGACACCTGAGGACGCCTCAGATTCGGGAATGCAGGCCGCGCCCACCTACAAACACACCACAAAAGCCCCTGCCCGCAGAAGGACAACGACCTGAGACGACACCTTCCTCTCCCAGGGTTCCGAAGGCCAAGACCCAAGTCCAGCACGGTCAGGACTCCGGGACTGGAGCAGGCAGAGCTGCCAAGTGGAAGCTCTGGCCCCCCAGGCGGGTCCTCCGCGGACGGCCCCTTCCTTCCTTGGCCCCCACGCGCAGAACGGAGCGAGGGGAAGCCAAGGGTCGGCGACCGGACCCGCACAGCTCTGCGCCCGTCCTCCACTGCCGGGTGTCTGCAGGGCTCAGGCGCCGGGGCCTGGCTGATCGCGGTTTCTTCATAAACCACAGTTTCTATCGACTGAATGCGTAAAACAAAGTAACAGCTCTCAGTTCCTGACATGGAAACAAAAATTACACTGGTAACTCCCAAGAGCGTTCATCAAAACCAGTGCAGGGCCGGGGACTTAGCTCAGCGCTTCCGCTGTCTGCCTGACAAGTACAAGGTCCCGAGTTCGATCCCCGGTTCCAAAAAAAAAAAACAACAAAAACAGTGCCAACTGGCTAAAAACTAAGCAATAAAAATGCAATAGAAGGTTTCTTAATTTGAACAATTAATATGTTAATAATAATTACAATAAAATGCTAAAAAGAGATTTCTTAAATGAAAAAAATTATTCATTACCATACTATGTTTTTAAAAATTGAAACATTATATTTAGTCTTTTTGACTAGGTACAAGGTCCTTGTTAGCAACATTATATATTTTTAACTCAATCTCCCAACAACCTAAAAATAATAAAAATAACATTATCGCTGGGTATAGTGGTGCACACTTGTAATCCCAGAACTCAGGAGGCTGAGGCAGGAGGATCACTGTGAATTCAAGGCCAGCTTGGGCTACCTAGTGAGACCCTGCCTCATTAAAAAAAAGTAAATAAATAAATAACATTATCATTTAAATAATACAATTTACATAGAACTTTCATGTATATTATTTCATCTAGTTCTCAAATAATCCTGTGAGGCAACTCTTGGGTTTTCCCAGTACCAGGGTATCTTTCAGTACCAGGTGAGTGCTCAGAACCCACACAGCTCCACACTGCTCACCTCTGGAAACAGCTCGCCCAGGAAAGCACATAACCTGAAAGACAAGGCGTCCTCTTTGAAGAGCGCCACGGTGAGAGGCGTGCTCTGTTCTCCTCCAGGGAGAGCAGGGGTTTGGGTGTAGGGCCACCCGGACGATTGAGAATTTGCTGAAACTACCTGGCTGTCCCACTGCCCTCACAAGTCTGCCTGTTATGGGGAGACAGCAAAAACAGTACCAGTAATTGTCACAACAACTAAGACACTGACAGCGTGTCAAGGGGAGGGCATTAGTAAGAGCCCACACCTGGAGGACCTGGCGTCTGCCCAAAGCCAGGCATCAATCACAGGAGCACAGACAGAGCCCCGGAGAACTCCGAATACTACAGCGGCCATTTCTCTTCGGGTGCACAGACAGGCAGGCGCTGAAAGGCCGAGCGCCTTGGCCATGCAGCGGTTTCCTCCTCCAAAGACTGCTGAGAAGAGCCCAGGTCAAAACACCTGACTGCAGTTTCCGAAAATAGTCATCCCCTGGTCCCCACAGAGGGTCAGTCCCAGCATTCCCTTCCCATGGACACCAAAATCAGAGCCTCAGGTTGCCTACAGAAAATGGCACAGTATCTGTACATCACCTACACACAGCCTCTGTGACACAAATACAGCCGAAATGCTATGTAAACAGCTATCACTGCACTCTATTGTTTTGGGAATAACAAGCAGAAAAAGGTCTGGCTGAGTGGTGGCACACGCCTGTGATCCCAGCACCTAGGAGGCTGAGGCAGGAGGACTGCCACAAGTTCAAGGCCAGCCTGGGTTACATAGTCCAAAGTCGGCCTGAACGACATGGTGAGACCCTGTCTCAAAAACAACAAAACCAAAAGAAAAAGGCCTGGCCACACACACAGTGGCACATGCCTATCATCCTACCTACTGAGGAGGCTGAGGCAGAAGGATCACAAGTCCAAGGTCAGCTTGGGCAATTTAGCAAGACCCTGTCTCCAAATAAAAAATGAAAAGAGCCGGGGAAGTGGCTCCATGCCGAGCCCCTGTACGTGTTCAGTACAGACACGGTCAGTTGTTCAAATGCCTCTCATCTGTGGCTGCAGAGTTGCACACTCCTGATGCACACAACTGGGATCTTCTTCCCCTGAAGAGCCCCATACCTGCAGGCTCCATGGTCCACTCCATCCTCCTTACACACCAACATTAAAAACACTAAAGATCCTTGCACATGGAGAGAGTTCCTAATCCCCAGGTGAAAACAGAAATCAAAAGTGAAGCCGGGTGTGATGGTGCATGCCTGTAGTCCCAGCACTTGGGAGGCTGAGGCAGGAGGATCCTTGTAAATTTGAGGCCAGCCTGGGCTACATAGTGAGTTCAGGACCAGCTTGGAATACACAGTGAGACTGTGTGTTAGTTACTTTTCTCTCGTTGCTGAGACAAAATACTCAACACCCAAAGCTAAAGCAGAAAGGGTTTATTTAGCTCACAGTTCGTAGGGGTTTCAGTCCATAATTAGCTGACTGCAAGGCAGGGTAGATGGCAAACAGGCATTGCAAAGAAAAAGCAACATGGTGCACACGAGGTAGCAAAAGCAACAAGGAACCTTAACAGTGTCTTTCTGTCCCTTTTATCTTATTCAGACTTTCGGGATTAGGCCGGTGCCAAACCAATCACTCCTGTGTAGTGGTTTAGTAATCACAAACCCTTAATCCCAGCATCACACAGTCCAGATTTAGCTGCCTTTGAAAAAGACTCCATGAGGCTTTGGGGGACATCTAGACACAAGCCACAGCACACTGTCTCAAAACTACAATACAAAACTGAACGAAGTGAGACCCACGAGGGATACAGCTTATGGTGTAGCGTCTGCCCAGCAAGCTCAAGGCCCAGTACAAAACAAAAAAAACCAAAATTGAGACCCGATGAAACAGGACCAATACAGAACAGGGTTCTGAGGAGGCATGCTCTTCTCTGCTGAGTCCAAAGACTCACCTCAGTGGCTGTCAGTAAGTACAGAGGTGTTAAGGCGGGAGCTTCTCGTGCGTCACAGCTTAGGCCGAGGGCTGTCAAGATTTCCTTAAGGACTTCATACCGTCTAATATTGCTTGATTTGAGCAAGTTAAATTCTTCTTGGGTTCGCACTACAGAGGTGCTGGCAGGTACTTCTAAGTGCACCTGAAAAAAAAGATACACTTGGTAAATTGGGGGCCCTTACAGACACTAGGAAAGACAGTTTCATCAGCAGGGTGTGCTAGTGCCCACCTTGATCCCAACACTCGGAGGACTGAGGCAGGAGGAATGCTACAAGTTTGAGGCCAACCTGGGCTACATAGTGAGTTCAAGACCAGCCTGGACGACAGAGCGAGATCCTGTCTCAAAAAAACAAAAAAAAAAGAGGAGGAGTAGGGCTTCATTCCCAGGTTTCCTGAAAACTTGACCATGAATTGTTCTCCTTATCAACAGAATATTAACTCTGAACCTGAACATCTATAAAGTAACGACAAGCAGTAAAAAGAAGGAAAGCATTCAAAAGGCCCTCTTGAACCACAACTTCCAGGCAAAAGGGCCGCATGAGGGTGACCTTGGAGGGCTGCAGATCACTTTCCGGGCCGTGTGACCTTGGGCAGGTCACTCCACTCGGCCATGGGCTGAGACATTGCCAACACAGTGGTGCTGAGACCCGGGGGACACATCCAAAGGCCTTCCTTATGCCTTCCTTCACCTGCCTGAGCTCCCGGAGTTGGGGCTCCCTGTGTTCAGCCCTGTGAGTCCTGGAAGAAGGAACTACTCGACCTTCTAGCCCTGAGGAGATCATATCTGAACTGGGGGTGAAAGGCTGAATTACCAGAACACCAGGTACCCCAAGGAACAACCCAGGCCTGTTGGCTTTCTTTTGTTTGTGCCTCCTGGATGCAGAGCTCCTGACCTGAGGGTTAGGGAAATAAAAAGCACAGTGCCAGCCTTTAGGGAACTTGAAATCTCCCAGTTCCCACCAAAGTCTTAACTGAGGCAAACACACTCTGTGAATATGCTGTCTGCAGTGGCACAGATGCTCAAGGTCGAGGCCAAGCTGGAAAAGCCTGCACAGCATTACTCAACTTGGGCCCCCACTACAGCTGGGCAGCTGCAGGCAGCAGGGGGTCTGTCCTCCAGCTAGCCCGGAGAGAGCTACAGCGGGAAGTGAAGCCGCTAGAGGACCCTTGTCCCACCTGGTCTCCTGCACCCCAGTGCGATCTCCTCAGACAGCAGCGCCATAGGGTGCCCCTATCCTTCGGGTGAGCAGGTGGCTCCCCTGGAGGGAAACCCTTATATGAGGCAGAAATAAGACAAGCAAAGCGTGTTCCCCCCGGAGCCCACAGGAGGGACAGAGGCCCGAGGTTAAACACACGCCCGTTCACCCCATGGCAGGAATGGTCAGATACCCAAGAAGTTGGCGCAGTGAAGCAGCCTGCACATTTTCACAAGAAAGATGCTGTGGGGGAAAAAGCAATCGTGGCAGGCAGGCCGCTGAAACTGGCAGAACACCCTCCTGACTGTCTTATGGTTTCAAGATTTCAAAGGTAGTGGTTCACGCCTGTATCCGAGCACTTGGCAGGCTGAGGCCAGAGGATCACTGCAAGTTCAAGGCCAACCTGGGCTGCACAGTGAGTTCACAGCCAGTCTGAACGACATAGCAAGACTCTATCTCAAAAAAAAAAAAGAAATGATTTAGGTGCTGGCCTGGGGGTAGAACTCAGTGGTACAGCACTTACCTAACATGTGTGAGGCTCTAGGTTAAATCCCCAGCACTGCAAGAATAAAAACAAAAACAGGTTTCAGTGCTTCTAGAATGGCAGTGGGAAGAGACGCCACTGTGGCTCTGTCCTCTCAGTGAACAGGGACCGACCCCACGCAGGGGGCATGCGTGGTGGACACAGTCCTGGTCCTGGAGGTTTCAGACCACAGTCTCTTCCTCTGTTGACGCTGTCGTGACTGCAGTGACAGCCCCATCTCGTAATCTGGCTTCTTCTGCCAACATGGCTTCTCACCTAAAAACGCCTCCAGCGCTGGACAGGAAGAGGGCGCCACTACAGCTAGGCAGAGACCGGGTGCTGCTAAACACGCTCAGGTGCAAAGAATGTCCTCAGGGCCACAGTCGAGGAACTGCTACAAAAGCAGGGCCACTCCTGCCATGAGCTGAGCTACCCACTCGAGCGACACCTTAACTCCAGGCCGGAGCGGGACAACTCCAGCCCTAACTCCTGGGCCACTTGATGGCCAAACACCAGCACAAGGCCAAAGCCCAAGTGTTCCTGCACCCTGATCAGCACAGTGGCCACAGCGACTCTGCCTTTTCCCTTTGCCTTCTTTTCCCCTGTCACTGCCAATGCAAAGGCAGCTCACCTGGCCTGGACACCACCGCCCTGTGTGCAGCTGCATCTCAGCCTTGAAGTTCTTCACCCCTGCGCTTACTGGGTTCCATCCTTACTGGATTCATCACACAGAAGAAGACTGTGATACTGAGCAGAGAAAGGGGAAACTCACCAGCCTGCAATCATATTTATTGGTTGATCGCAGGGCGGTATCACAACACAAGCCTGAGGAGAAGCCAGTGTGTGACTGCTTGTGTCACACACAAGACTGGCAGTTGTTTAAAATCGAAACGACGTCCTAATCCTTGGAATCTGACCTTGAAGCTGCATCAGCCTGCCTTTTGTTCCCTGGGCAATGCGCTGCAGTATCAGATTTTATGACAGTAACAGGGTCGGTTTAAACAGTGCAGCCAGCAGATTTGCTATGTAACTCGGAGAACTGGATCCCAACAGTGCCAAATCAATTTTCTAGTATGCATCACTGGGCAGAGGTGGTAAACTCGCTCTTCAAAACTGAAATATGGCTCTAGGAAGTAGGGTTTTTGGTGGATTTTCGGAGAATGTGGGTTGCTATAGCGACTGTACTTGCAGCGAGAGGCTAAGAGGGATGATTAGGAGACCTCCAGACACAGCCCATGTGGCTGCGGCCTGCAGGGGCCCTGCGCATCTGCCGTCGGGTCCACATTTCGGAACACTAAGCCATCTGTGCCCCGGAAGGAACTGAAGAACAAATAAGTGGGCTTCAAACAGCAGGAGCAAACCTACACAGCACTCTGAAGACCACCTGCTCAGAAAACCAACGGGCTTTACCTGCTGTGGGGGCTGGAGAGTCTGGCACAGGAACTGAAAACAAAACGGAACCAAGCCATTCTCTAAGTGGATAAAAAGATCCCTTGGACAATGAAGTCCAGCACGTCCATCCCTGCAAGTCTCTGGGGCAAAACGCCCACACCCCAGGGTCTCATTCTACTGGGGAACCCTGAGCAGAGGAGGAAGCGGCATCAGCTCTCAGAGAAACTTGGCCTGCGGCGCTCAGAGATCAGATCGGTGAGGAGGCTGCTGGGACTGCTCTCTCCACCCGAAGCTAAAAGGGAGAACAGCAGTGGGGCCAAAGGACTTCCTCAGCATGTGGAGCAAATCAGCCTGGCCTTTCGGCCCTCCCATCTCCCCCTACCTGTGTATAAATATACCATCTAATTAAAATAACTTCCACATTCTCTTATTTGGAGCTTTCCACAGCAGTTAAGATTTTTTTGGTTTTGGTTTTGGTTTTGGTTTTGCTGTTAGCCTAGGCTGGCCTCAAACTTGAGATCCTCCTGCATCAGTCTTCTACATGCTGGGATTACAGGCATAAGCACTTAAGATTTTTTTTTTTGGTACGGGGAATGGAACTCCGGTCCTTGCGCTTGCTTGTGCAGCAGGTGGCAAAACCACTGAGCTAAATCCCCGGCCCCAGCACTTAAGATTTTAAGAGTGACATCATAAGAAAGGAATTGAAGATTTGAGCACAGTTTTGTTGTTCTTATGGTTATTTTTAGTTTGTTGTTTTTGCGGGGTTTTTTGTGTTTTTCAGACAAGGTCTCACAATGTCATTTAGGCTGGCCTTGGACTCAAACTCATGGTGATCCTCCCGCCTCAGCCTCCCAAGTGCTAGGATTACAGGCCTGTACCACCACACCCAGCTCTCAAAGATGGTTTTAACACTAACTACCTTTACTGTCAACTGCAATATTTTATCAGGATGCTTGCTGGTGTTCAGAATGATTATCCTAAATCTTTGAAGTTCCCACATGAAATGAAGGCTTGATGATAATAGCCACAGTGAGCTTTGAAACAGACTAACACATTTTCAAAAAATTATTATCAGTAAATATCAAAACAAGTTTTCTGACTACTCCCTGGCTAACCGGGAAAGCCTAATTAACCATAGTACCTTCTGCCTCATCCTCCCATCCTAAGTGTTTGGCTAAGCAGGGTATTTGGTAAGCTTTCCACCAGCAAAACCCCAGCCCCGGGCCAGTGCCTCCCCTACACACACAAACCCTCGGGCAGCCACCAGGAGCACACACCCTCTGCCACCCCCAGTACCTGGCAAAGAACGGCTTCCCCTCCATGGACACCAAAAGGCACTTGCACAATCACCCTGTCTTTGTCTTCATTCTCTAGGTGGCCCTGCAGCCTGCCGGGGCAGAGCGGCTCTCCAGGGGCCTCCTTGTAGACACAGCCACTGCTCAGAGCGCTGAGCTTCACATCACCCCGGCCCACCTTGGAAAACACCAGGTTCTGCACGGACCTCTGCAGCGCAGCCTTGCTGGCCACCCGCCAGCCACCGAGCCTGAAGGAGGAAGACAGGCTCAGCACCTTCCCGCCCTGCTCGAGGTAGGCTGTGAACCTCCCATGCACATCCTCGGGGATGGGCTCCCTGGCGGCGATGACCAACAGGAGGCAGCTGTCTGGCCATGGGTCCCTGCGAGCACTGTCCTCCGACAGTGGGTACAGGAGGTAGCTGTCGGTGTCCACACAGTTGGCCAGCAGAGCCTGGACCTGCTGCAGCAGGCCGGGGGCATCCTGGGAGCCAGAGCCCACATAGAGGAGGATGTTGGGTGCCTTCCCTGTGGCATTGCCTCTCCTGCCTTCCCTTTCCAGGCTGAGCTCATCAGAGGCTCCCTCCAGACTGCTGCTGGCATCATAAGGGAGCTCAGGAATGTTCTCAGCAGACGCGAACCTCACAGACTCGATGGTGCTGCTCTCCAGCTCCAGACACTCATGGCAGCTGGACAGGTGCAGGTGCCGGTGCCTGGCAGGGGCACAGGGCTCACTGTCCTCGGCGGAGTCCCTGCTTGGCTTGGAGGCACAGGCCCCAGAGGCCTCCGGCCCATCTCTCCTGTCTCCTGAGGGCTCCATCTCTGGGGAGAGCTCAGCGTTGGGCTGCAGGACTGGGGCTCGGCCAGAGGAGGCCTGGTCTTCAAGCTCCTGCAGAGCAGAGTCCTGCAAGTGCACCGCTAGGGCAAGGGTGGAAGAGCATCATCAGCACCCAGACTCCACAACCCACCACCTGCTCTGGTACAGCCCCTGCCTCCACCCCGGGGCAGCCCCAGACCCACAGGTGTGAAACTCCAGTTTCACAGCATCTTTCCTGCACAAACCAGACAGCCTTGGATCTTTTTTTATAATTAATCTTTTCAGTACTAGGGATTGATACCAGGGCCGTAACCCTGAGCTACATCTCCAGGACCCCTCCCTTTTATTTTATTTTTATTTTGAGACCAGGTCTCGCTAAGAGGCTTCAATCCTCTTATTGACTGGTAAAGAAAGGGAGATTCAAAGAGATGATTTTTCCTACTTGGTTAAAAATTCAATTTCTTGGATGTTATTTTCCTATATGGTAATGAACCTGAGAAATAAAAAGGTCACATGGGTACAGTCTATCCAAGCATAGCTCAGGAAAGAGTCATGCTCAGAACACTTCACAGGACCTAGAGAGGAGAAGGGTTATATAGTATCGTCTCTCAGGGCTGTAGTATAAATTCGTGATCACTAATTCAAAAACCATTTATTGAGCTGGGTGTAGTGGTAATGCCCACAATTCCAGCACTTGAGGGTCTAAGGTAGGAGGGTCCTGAGGACACTGAGCTCAGGGCCAACCTGGGTCACAGACTGAGTTCAAGGCAATCCTGAGCTATAGAGAGAGACCCTGTCTCAGGAAAAAAAGCCCCCCCCCCACTTGCTATACGCCCACCACAGTGCTGGGCGTGCACACGGCACATCAGCACACTGAGTGATTTACACAAACGTCCAAAAATGGTCAGTGACACTTACTGCCTACCATATAAATGGAAACTTTTATAACTACAGAAAGCCTGCACAGTAGGCCTAAAGAGGAACATTTGTGTGATTCCTAAAGAAAAAGATTTGTCCCCCAAAATTGTGATATACATATTTTAAGTAAAAGCTGTCAGATTTAGAACCACATAGTGACACTGTGCTTCCCACTCAGCAAAACCATAGTCTAGAAACTATTTATAGTGCATAAAAGAGTAAGTGTTCTGAATATAAATGCCAGCACACAGACAAGGCAATTATGAAAACTCCTGACAGAAGCTGGGCATGGCAGTACACACCTGCGATCCCAGCACTCTGGGAGGCTGAGGCAGGAGTATCATAAGTTCTTCTTGCTTGCCTGGACAACTTAGCAATCCCCTGTCTCAAAATTTTTTAAAAAAACTAAAAACAGGGGATGTACTTCAGTGCAAAAGCCCTGGGTTCAATCCCAGTACCATTTAAAAAAAAAATCTAAGAAATCCTATACACATTAATAATATATCATCCCCTTGTCCCCCAAACTCTTGACACCTATATGTATTTTTTCCCTTTAGGGTTAAATCAAACCTGGTGGCTCAATTAAACTGAACTACTCTTGGCCTTCAGTCATATCAAAAGAAGTGCTCAGCATCCCTTCCTCGAGGAAGCACTGACTGCACCACTAGGACAGAAGCACTTTCCCAAGTCACTCACAGACGATCTTCTGAGGCACCAGCCCATTCTCCATCTGCAGCCTGTCTTCCATGAATGCTGCGCCCAGCCTGCTGAAGTCGTCCACACTCGCTTCTGCAATTAGCTGGTAGGGATCGCCTGGTCGGCAAGCTAAGGGCAGACAGCAGTCAGACCACTTGACAATCTGAGAAAAAGGAAGAAGAGAGAAGCTGGACTTTTTCAACTCTAAAATGACCACTTTATTTTTCCTCTCAGGCTCCTCACCAATAATAATGAACACAGTCAGACACAACATATTACTGGATATTGTATTTCACTACTATCAGTTGTTTTGGCCTGTGTTACAAATTACTTTTCTCTCCTTGCTGAGACAATGCAACACTCAAAGTTAAAGAGGAACAGTTTATTTGGCTCACAGTTTGTAGAGGTTTCACTCCATAATGGGCTGGCTCCAAGGCAGGGATGGGCAAACAGGCATCGCCAGGAGAAACAACAAGGCGCATACAAGTAGCAAAGACAAGGGACCTTAACAGCATCCCTCTGCTCCTTTTATCTTAGACTATAGGAATTAGGGCAGTGCTAAACCAATCACTTACATGTAGTGGTTTAGTAATCACATGCCCTTAAATCCCAGCATCACAAATTCCAGACTTAGCTACCTTCAAAAAAGACTGCATGAAGCCAGGCATGGTGGCACACACCTGTAATCCCTCCCAGCACTTGAGAGGCTGAGGCTGGAGGATGGAGGCAAGTTTGAAGCCAGCCTGGGCTACACAGTGAGTTCAGAGCCAGCCTGAACTACAAAGTGAGACCTTGTCTCAAAAAGAAAAAGAAAAAAAGAACAAAGAAAAAAGGAAATGTCTGCATGAGGCTTTGGGGGTACATCTAGACACAAGCCACAACATGGCCCAGATGTTTTTAGTTGCAGCTGATAACAGTGCTTCCAAATCACTCAACCTCAACTCTCGAAATTAAAAGCAACTGAAGAATCAGCTGCTAGAAGGAATTAATGGGAAAAGGCCATTCCCTAGGGGTCTTTGGCGACAGGGCCCAGGAGGGAAGGACAGGTCCACAGTCCCCATGACTTCCGTTATGGGGTACACTGAGAGACCCCCCAGAGCCTCATGTACTAATAGGTGCAGCTTTCAGAGGGTGATTGTCTGATGCCCCCCCCCGCAGAGCTCACTTCCGGTTAGGAGGCGGGGCCTGGTCACGGGGCGTGGCCTGGCAGGGTTTATCTGTCTCTCCAGCTCCTCCCTTTCTCTGCTTCCAGGATACCAGCTCTCCTCAGACGTGCTGCCCGCCGGGGATCCGGGAACTCTGGAGTGAACCCTTCACAAACTGAGCCAAAATCAACCTCTCCTTCTTTAAACTGTGGGCGTCAGGTACTGGGTCTCAAAGATGAGAAAGTGACTAAGACAACTTCCAATGGAACTTATGGGGCAGGGGCACAGCCCTGGGTGGAGAGCTTGCTTAGCACACACGAGGCCCTCCCTCCGTTCAGTCCTCAGGGAGCCTGCAAAGTGCAGGCCAGGCAGAATCAAAGCAGAACTTCTGGAGGCACCTCAGACCCGCAGTCTCCTGCCACAGCTCCGACCTGGAGGTGCGTGGCAATCAGGGTTCCCACAATGCTGCAATGTGAGGATGAAGGTCAAGAGTCCCAGACAGTTCACGCGGCCACCACAAGGGGGCGGAGAATGAGCAGACAACACAAGCTTCAGGCCTCTGGTTTGTCCAAAAGCAGCTTTCCATACTGGGAGATGGGGTCCTGTGACCACTCACGGTACCCAACGGAAAAGGGAGCCCTCGGGCAGAAGGACCTGGCTCAAACTCGGTATCACTGGGGCCTGGCCCTGGAGAAGTCGCTGCACTCAGCTTCCTCACTGGTAAATCGGGACCACAGTGTTAGTGCCCATCACGATGTAGGTTTGAAGAGTGTGTGTAATGCCCCCAGGAGAAAGCCTGAGACAGAATAGAGGGCTCCATTAATGAGAACTCTTTCTATTACCTATTACTGCACCTGGCTTTGCAAACAACAATGAAACCAGGTGTGGTGGCACACACCTGTAATCCCAGCACTCAGGAGGCTGAGGCAGGAGGATCATGCAAGAGTTTGAGGCCAGCCTGGGCTACACAGTGAGACCTTATCTCAAAAAACCTAATAATTTCTTCACTGTTGGTGGGAGTGTAAATCGGTACAATCAATATGGAATTCAGTTATGGAGATTCCTCAAAAAATTAAAACTAGAGGTTCCATTTGGCCCAGCTGTTCCCCTTCTTGGTACCTTCCAGAAAGAGTTAAAAAGCATCATGCCACAGCGAAATACATACACCCATGTTTATAGCGGCACAGTTTGTAATAGCTAACTTTTGGAAATAGCCCAAATGCCCAGCAACCGATAAATGGATAAAAAAGATGTGGTGTTTTAATTCAATGGAGTAGTACTCTGCCATAGAGAAGGACAAACTGGAGACATTTTTAGGTAAATGGATGCACCTTGAGAACATAATTTTAACTGAAATAAATCAGGCACACATGTTTAAATACTGCTGTTTCTCTGGTGTGAAAAACTGGAAGGGAAACTAAGGACCAAAATGGATGATAGATATCTGGAAGTAGGAAGAAAATGTTCAAATGGGAAGGGGAGCAAGGGAGGGGGGAGGGGGAAAGGGAGGGAATGGGGATAAAAATAATAAGAATAGAAGGCAAACAATAGAAAGAAGGTTTTATAAAGGGAGAGGAGAAGAAGGATTGAAAGGAAGGGAGGGGGAGGGGGAGAAATGAATGAAGGTCTATTATGTACAAGTAGAAAGTGTCCATGACGAATGTGATCACTGTGTGTCAAAGTGTACCGGTAAAATTTATAATAATAAATAACCAACAGCAACAGTGAGCTTCGTAGTCTCTAAGGTGCCGTGAGTGAGGCCCGACTCTCCCTGGGAAGAACTGTCTTCCCAGGGATATACGCCCTCAACTTTCATAATCAGACACATAACTCTGAATTCCATTTTTCCAAGGCTGGCGGACTAAGATTTTAGAGCTGACTCCTGGTGAAAACCATTTTTTAAAATGCTGAATAAAATACATAAGCCAGCTGTGGTGGTGCACACCTGTTTCTCAGAACTCTGGGAGGCTGAGGCAGAAAAATCACAAGTTGAAGCCCAGTCTGGGGAACTTAGTAGACCCCGTCCTAAAATGAGGAGGAGGAGAAGGAGGGGGAGGGGGAGCCCCCGGGATTTAGCTCAGTGGTGCAGCCGCCTGCCTCAAAAGCACAGGTCCTGAGTTCGATCCCCGGTACCAAAAATAGATAAATAATAATGAAGATGAACTAATTGGCCCAGAATATCTGGAGGGACTAACCTCAGAATTTACCTCCCTCCAGTCATCACCTACTTGGCCCCGGCTGGGACACGGACCCCCTTGCTGGCTTCCTGTGGAGGGTCTATCAGCCTGGCGTCTCGGGAGTCTCCATCTCCAAGCTGACAGCCTGGGAGGGGACTCAGGAAGCTTAACCTTAACCTCGACCAATACTGCGGGGACACAAAGCTCTGGGGATGCAGGAAGGACGTCAGACGAGGAGGACGAGGAGACACTGCCAAGTGAGCAGGGCAGGCTCTGTGGAGGGGGTCAGGGAGAGATGGTGCAACCTCCTGCGTGACCCTGCACGCACCCGGCTCTCCGCCGCCTCCAGCCCCGCGCAAGCCACAGGTCGGGGGGTTGAAACATGAGTCAGCACCCTAAAGGGCGCCGGTAATTAAATCCTCACACTCCTCTGAGGCAGAGATGCAGGAGACAAGGAGGAGGAAGGACAGAGGCCAAAAGATGATCTGCACACACACGGATCGTGTTTCTCAGCCCAGCCAACCGCTTCCTCACCCAAGCCCACTTCCTTTCTCTAGAATGAGGCCCGGGAGCCAGACCATGCAAAGCCCTCCAAGCGGCACTGGGCGCTGTGATCAAAGCAAAGCCGGCAAAGCTGCACGGTCATTGATACTTCAAGAGGGGGGGCAAAAGCAAACAGGACACTTCAAATTTGCACTAGGAGATGAAGACAAAGGGGAAAGAAAGAAAGGGGAAGTCTAGCAAAAGGGTTGCTCCCAAAGATCAAAGCTGAGGAAGCCCTGCTTGGCCCTAAACAAAGGGGCTTCCCCTTAGAAGCAGCGCACAGAAACCTGGTCCGTAACCCAACTCCTAGACTCCATGTTGCAACCCAGGACAGCACGCAAGGAGGGCGGGCGCCACTCACTGTCCAGGAAGAACCTGGAAGTGCGACAGCAGCTGTAACCGCTGGGAGTGGCCTTTCCAAACCGCAGGTGACCGGCGGAAGCTTTGTAGCAGCTGGGAGAACAGAAATCTCAACAACCCATTCAGCTGCCAACCAGACAACTGATGCTGCTAATTTCTGACCGCTGTTTCTTCTCGTCCAAATCTTTTTTTGTTCTTCCAGTGGTAGGGACTGAACCCCAGGCCTTCACACAGCTAAATCCCCAACCTTTGTTTCTAATTTATTTTTTATTTTAGATCGCCTCAGGCTGGGCTTGAACTTCTGATCCTCCTGCCTCAGCCTCCCAAAGGGCTGAGATTACAGGTGTGTATCACTGCCCAGCTCCAAATTATTTTAAATGCATGGTAGGTTGTTAAAGGGGCTGGATACAGGGATATAAAGAATTTGAAACAATGAAACTAAGATTATTGGGGACTTTCCATTACCCTAGCTGCCTTTCAGGATTGGAAACAGGATAAAGGGACGCTATAAAATTCTTTTCTGTCTCTCTATGAAAAAGGCAATATGCTCTGTGGCAGTTTTATAAGAAGGGTACTGCAAAAGCAAGTCACAGTGTAAGGTTATCACAACTCCATAGCAAGCAAGGGCTGGACTGATAAACCCACCCAGGTAAAATTTAAAGGTAGAATGGCAAAGCCAATGACTCAAAAAAAGGGCTAGTCAGAAGGTAAGAGACACATCCGCTCTGTCACAACCTCCTGTTATCTGTGCTCTTGGGTGTCCCTAGGCTCTGGAGACCACCCCAGGTGCGCCGTGTCCGAATCCAGTGACTCACAGCCACAGGTAGGGTGATTGGAGGGTGTTCAGAGGTGCTGCTGTGTAACAAGCCAGCCCAAGTGCAGGGGCTTAGAACTCATCACTTATTTGGCTGGAACATTCCAGTTTGGCAAGATTTGGC